CATAAGTCTAAATCAGAACAGTTTTGGCCCAGTTATTTAATTTTTCGTAAATCAATAAATAAAATAAAAAAAAAAAACAGCATCAAAAATCTCATTATTACGGTTTCGTTGAAAATATTTTTAAATATTTTTATGCAGATTTTTTAAGCCTAATCAGTTTTGTCATCTGAAGGGAATTTTTCAAAAAGTTATTTAAGAAACTATTTTTATTATAAAAAATTCCATTTTTGGAGGTATTTTCAAATTTGTCCAGCTCGCTTAAATCTTAATATTTTTCCGAAATATTTTTGTGGACGTCTTAAAATATAATTGATTTGCAATCCCGGCGGAAAAACCGCAATTTTTTTTTGTGATGCAGTCTAATGTACATATGTATCGTAAGTTTCACTTCTCCAATGTAACCCAGGCGCACTTACTTTTTTTTTTGCTTTTCAATATTTTTTGTATGAAAAATTGAACATTTAAGCAATTTCTGCGCCTCTTGAACGAAAATTTTTAACAAACACTTCTGTAGTAAACATTTCTGCATATATCTATGAAAAAAATGCGTCCATTTCGATATAGTTTGGTCGGAATGAATTCTTATTTGCCAGCGTGCGGGCCCGACTCTCGTGGCTGGATCGCGCGCAATCCACGTTGTTTTCTTGCGCAAGAAAGAAATGCACGTTTCAATCGTTTCAATTCTGACTGAAATCGGTGAAAAAGTAACAATTATTTATTGACTCTTTTGAAAAAATGATAACAGTTACGGTCCCTGATTTTATTTATCTCGTTTGCTTGGTAGACTTTGTTATGGTAATATGTTTGATAACAAACCCTCTAAGTTTAAATTAAGATTGTTTCCTAGAAACGCCGCTGTGTGAACATGTGACTTTCTGTAAGGAACGCGGAATTGATAAACATCACATGCCAGTACTTTAGCTAAATGCCGCATGAGAATTTTAGTTAACCACTTTTTTTCTCTGTCAGTACGGTATGTTATTAACATGAACCTCCAAAAAAAATTTCAGTATCCTACCTCAAATACCTTCAGAGATATACTCTATGAAAATTGCGCTTTTTTGTGTGCGAGAGACAAAACCCCTTTTCCAATACTTTTCCCCAGTTCTCTTAAGGAGTGTGGGATTAATTTCATATACATACATAGTATGTATTTATCCCCATATATACATAATAACAGTACTCTACCCCAAATCTTTCAAAATATGCATTATGAAAGTTTCACTATGTATGGGAGGCGCCACGCTTCCTTTTCCACTCCACTCCAATTTTTCCATGAGTATAAAATTAATTTCATAAATCTACCAGGCCCGAAATTATCTAGACAAATCCCTTATTTCGTCTAGAGCCTCGTCAGATTTCCATAACTGAGATTTTCTCGACAGTGCGATAACAGGTTCTGGCATGGAAATCCTTTCTACAGATAAACCATTCCTACGCTTAAGAGGCTAACCTAATATTCACGCACGCCGCCAATTTATTGTCAAAAATTTCTCATGCACATGCAACTTGTATGAGATCAACCGAAATTGAACGGCGTGCGTATGAAGCTAACTCATAGTCTGTTCCAATAGCAGTCCGGTTTACAGGATTTAGTCAGAACTTACAGGAAGTCGTTCCTATTGACATAAAACCTGTAAGTGGGAACACATTTGAGAGAGTAACTGAGCAACTGTTCCTAGTCAGAAGTTACAGGATTTAGTCCGGAGTTTCTTTTCCTGTAAGTTCATGAAAAGTGTCAAACGATCAGCTGATTTGCATGTGCAAGCAAAAACTAACAGCGGTGAAAGCAAAGTACCTTATATTTGTAAAAAAAATGGAAGTAAACAACGAAATGTTTGAATATGTAAAGATTTTAATAATTATTTAGTGATATTTCAGCTAAATCAGTGTTGTACAAATGACATGTAAACAAACCGACTGACGTTTTTACAGGAAATAGTGCTTTTTGCGTTCCTATGCACTTCTGCATCTGTTCTCCTTTTACTCTCAATTGATAGAGTAAAATTGTAGTTTGACAGTTCCACAGGTTTTAGTCCGAAGTTCAAAGGAACAGACTATCAATTTCCAATTTTTGTTCTGCGTGACATTTTGATTTGACGTTTCGCTCAATGAAATCAAATGCAAACGCATGCAAGCCAATTTCGGGTGACGCAAAAAAACAAATTCGACGGCATGCGTACCAAAACGCAAGCCGCGAATATTAGGTTAGCCTGTAATAGATTTTCTTAACAATATTGTCACCCAATATAATCTGAACAATCCTTAACACAGCCCGCAGTTCAAGACGAAGGCGCTTCACTGATCCTATTTTTAATTGTTTTTATCACTTTTTCTCAATTATTTGCTTATGTGGTAGGTGTGTCTGAAATTCGATCTATACCAAATTTCATATTTTGTTATTTTGAGATAATATAAAGCAACATACTAAATTTTGTTCCAATCGAAGCTCTTATAATTTTTCCGGCCCCCCAGCGTAGCGGACGTGGCAGTTATCCAATTTGTACTATATTTCTTCTTTCCATAATAAATTAAGTGTTTGCCATGACCAAAGAACGTAAATCTATATCGTAGATTTACGTTCTTTGCAATGACATCGAAATCGGAGCACGTTTTTTGGCAGCAAGTTATATTGCATCGCGACACTGTAGGCGGCCGCCTGATAATTAGAAAAGTAAAGAAACAATGCTACCCATTTCTATAGTGTGAAAAAAGCAACCCTGACCAGAAAAAAAAGAAGATAAAAAACATTTCGGCCCGAAAAATATAGGAATAATTGCAAAGAAAGGAAAATTAACATATTTCAATGATACAAAACAATACACACCACAAATGGACGAGGTAAGCAGCATTATTTAAAATCAAGATACACGAGGCTAGTTTTTCGTACGCAAATTTCAATCCCATAGGTCGATATAGATGGAGAAGATTTCAATGAGCTTGAAGCGAGGCTTTACGGCCAAATACACCATGAGGCCGTAGATTCGGCAACGGTAGAAGTTGTAAACAATGCGGTCGAGACCCCAGCGCCAGAAAAAGAAAGCGTGGAACGTATTGTCACTGCAAAAAGCGTTGTGAATAGACCTGCGAAGTCAAGTCGTGTTCCCGATACACGCTACTGGGTAAATAGCACTGCTAAACCAGCTCATATGCCCAAACCAAATGAAAGCAATACCACTATTTCTAAAGCAAGTATTGCTGCTAATCAAAATAAAAGTATAAATGATCATGGTAAGTTTAAAGTAAATATATTCATAAAAAAATATTTATTAAGTTTTAAAATACCACAGAAAAGTTATCCACAACAACTACCCTTGAGACAAAAAAAATTAGTGACCAGAGTAAAAAAAATGAGACAGACAATGTCCGAAAAGTTCAAAGTCAGTCACCTAATAATGACATTGTTAAACAAATAGAACCGCAGGAACAACAAAGCCCTGAAAAAGATAAATTACCAAATGAAAACTTCCGCATAAACCCGGCTGCAGTAGCTAAAAACACAAAGTTAAATTTAAAAAATAAAAAACAAAAAAAAGCAATAGAACATGTCCCACGAAGTGGCCCTTTCATGCAGCAAGAAAAGAAGTTACAAAAAGCGCTAGTAATTCAAGAAAAAAAGAAAAAATCTAAAAAAGTACGTAACAAAAATCGTAAAAAACAAAAGCAAGTTGAAACTATTGTCTTGGAATCTGCGTCAGAAAGTTCGAGTGGAACGGATGAGTCTGACGATGATGTAGTTTTAATACCGGCAAAGCCTCCACCTACAATCACCCTATCTGACAGTGATACCGATGCTATTGTTGGTGAATCAAACGCCCTACAACTTGAAGAAGAGAATGCCATAGATGCTTCTGATGTATTTATTGATAAAAAAACGAAATCAAGCGATTTCACCACACCAACTGAAGTCCGCAGCAATGTGGCGCAGGAAGCATCCGAAAAGCAGGCGGAGCAAATCTCAAGTAGATGCACATCACCATGTTCTGTACTATCATCCGACGATTTCATTGGCCAGACGGACCGAAGCCGTTTGCTTGAAGACAATTGCATGGCAGATGATCAAGATTTAGCTCTGCTTACTGCTGATGTTGACAGTCTAATGCAACCACCACAGGCACAACCTAGCAGTACGAAACAAACCAACAATCCAGCAAATAATTCCCCATCAGATGATGTTATGTGCACTGGTCAGTTCACCGTTTCCTTCTTGAATTCAGCAAATAAAAACACCGAAGCATTAGAAAAACAGAAGAAACAGCAGAATAATTATCGGGTAGAGCAGGCAGAATTTAGAGCGATGGACGTTTATGAAAGTGAATCTGATATAACTGACAGTGTGTACTCCAAGGGCACTGTTCGGAACAGAACGATCATAAATGCAGTTGACACTAGTTCTGAAGCTGAGGATCTACAGCAAGCTCCATTGAATCAAAAGGTAAAACGTTTCTGCAAGCGGCGAACATCAAGTAGCAATCGCGGCTCTGACGCACTTAACGACGATGCAAGCACGGATGATGAACTGGAGGGAGGCGTATCCAAAACGCCAATACCATATATTTTGTGCGGAACAGCTGTTGAACGTTGCAATAAAAAATTGCGTAAGCGTACGCAATCGTTAAGCTCCCGGCGAGCTTCAGCTGGTGGCACTGCCAACGCCGCTGGAAATATGTCCGACACTGAATTCATAGCCACACTGAATAGCTTAGTGCAAGGGCGTGAGGAAGATATAAATAAAGGGACATATGACAAAAGTGAAGACGATGAAAACTCTGAGGATCAATTACGAATTGATAGTAATAAAGGTAAAAGCATCACTCAGGTTTTCGAGAAATCTGTACCAGTATCTGCTGGTACCCAGAAAGATGAGCCTGACCGATTAAGTGTACGATCAGTGCATATAGTAGAACCTCCTCCGCCATCAGCGAATTTTTCTGATGCAGTGCCTGACGATGCTTTAGCTGGATTAGATAAGATTTTCGATTCAATTGATAACATGGTTGAACCCAATTCTAATTTCAAAAAGAAACCAAGTGAGTCAGAAAATAGCTCAGAAAATGAAATCGAAGTAATTCAGCCACCTGTGCGAGCACTAACTACAGCTGAGCAAATAAAAAACAAAAACGCTCTACCTATCGGACACATCGTTTACCATGAGCATACTTTTCAACAGGGAGGTGTGGGTTGGAATGAGGAAATGGCCAAATTCTATAATTTGTCCTGGCATGGAGAACGTTTTTCAGTGGTTGGAGTGCAAAATAGAATGGATAGTGAGTAGAGTAAATGTTGATTGTTGAATTCATTATATATTCTAATCATTTGCATTCCTTTCTGTTGCAGAGGATCGCAGCCTATGGAAGATTTACACAGAAGATCGTTTTCCCAAAACGCGCCCCTACAGCAATCAGAAATGCTACAACTGCTGTGAATTCGGACACACACGCGCTAAATGTAGACGACCAAAAAAGCCCCCTGTTTGTTATATGTGCGGCGAAAGTGGACATTTCGAGCCTCGTTGTCCAAACACAATTTGCCTAAGGGTAAGTTGCACGAAATAATCCAATGCTTACATATTTTGCATGGGCATTCTTTTTCTTGTTTTAGTGCGGTAATAAAACACAAATGTTTACAAAAAGCTGCAATGCTTGCACATTCCAAAATCGGCTTATTTGTCCCATATGCAAGGTCCGTGGACACTCCATTAACCTATGCCCAGATAAATGGCGACGTTACCACTCCACGGTAAGTAAAAAGTGTCAAATAAAAGTACATATGTGCATATAAGCAACTTCTATTTCCTCTCACTCACTAGACCCAACCAAATGCACATCCTCATATGGAGGTAGAGTTCAATAAACGTAAAATGTGCTGTGTCTGTGGTGCAAATGGACATTTTTCGGACACATGCCGCAGTGCTTCACGCTTTATGGAGTATCCAGTTATTATAAGCTACGTAAAATCACATCAGAAGTCGTATAACGATTTATTGTTCACATCGCCACGTCTTGGAATAGCTCTCAATCTTCTGTATAGACCTTTAGATACGGTTGTATTTCATATGGCCGAAAAAACGTCACCAAATGATTACTATGGACGCTTTTTGAAAGCAGTGGGCCTCGGCAATTTGCTTCCACGCAAACGGCCAAGCAATTGTTTGGCAGCCCCTGAAAACCCTTCAAAGCAAGCTAGAAGCCTCTCAGGACGCTACGTGCCAAATCCATATGGCAGATCAGCCAGAGGAAGTGTTCAAACCATAAGTGATGTAGATGATCGTAATAAATTAACAGAGAAAGCGGCACCAAATCAGGTAATAATCGACACTATTTTTGTGGCTTCTAACTATTATTACAAATTTTAATTACTACAGGTGCAGGAAGTGAGTGGTAGCGTGATCTCAGCCGAGGCTGTCACATCAGGAGCACTGGAAGATATTTCTTCTGATGAAGGGATGACACATACCAACGAAGTAAGCGAATCTATGGGAAATGATGCAAACGAAGTGGAAGTTAATAAAGAAGTCATAAGGGAAAACGAATTCAAAGCACCTGGAGAGGCATCGGCTATTATAACAACGCACCAATCAGCTCAGCACAAGGAAAACCTTACAGCAGATTCCGATTCGAATTACAGTTTTTCAGATCATTTTGAAGTACCACCAGCTGCTGTTAGGGGCGAAAATGAAACAATTACGGGCGATGCTGAATTGGATGTACAGCCATCCACATCTGCTGCTACCAGGAGCATGTTATCAGCAAAGCGAGTACGAGAAATGGATCCTTTGCCAGATTTCATACCAATTACCTGTGGCAGTGATGTCAACACAACCGAAATAGATGATAACTTTGACACACAGACAGGTATTTCTCGACGATTTGTTGCTGCAAATACCGATGATGAACAGGAAGACGATGCAGCACAAGCGAATGATACGCCATGTGAAGCAAAAATATATCTCACCCATTTCCACAGCAACTACTTATTGTCACCAGATGGTCACGAATTTTTGAAACAGAAATCCGAAGAGTGTAATATTAAAGCAAGGCTCGACTGGACATCTGTTGGTCATGTGTTGGTCATATTCGGACTTCCCAGTGACCAGGATATATTTCACAAAGCATTGTTAGATAAATGTAAAGATTTGATGGATCGAATGAGTAACAAACAATTGAGCGCCATGAAAGTGCCCAAGCGCATTGATGCGTTGATTCGCTTTTTGCGCGAAAACATTTCTCAACTGCAGAGTGATTTAGGTGACGTGAATGATTTACAAAGGCGCATCAACAATTTGGAGAAGTCACACACTAAGGCGAATATGAAATTGGCGGAGAAATTCCGGCGTCTGCTTAATATGATATTACTGGGTCAGGCCGGCCTGTGTGATGGCGACAAGCATTTGGATAAGCTTTTTATGAATTTAAAATCTCTTATTAATGATTATCAAGCTGAAAATATGGTACCGCAATCACTACGCGAAGAGATTGATTCACACTCCAGACTGATCTTTACCTCGTATCGGCATGAAAATTATCCTGATCTAATTCAAAGTTATAACAG